CTTATAAAATACCGATAAAGTCAAATCGCTCTATGACTTTTATAACTCTGTGGTTTACTAAGATAACAAATGAAATACTTCCTGGAATAGCCTGTGTTACTTTCTCCTTCCACTGCTGTGCAAAAGTTTTCTGTGGCTGTTATCACTAAAATCTGCTCAGCTTTGTCGCTTTTGTAGGCTGTTCACAATGTGTAAGTTACGTGTGCTAAATAACTTACTTGATTTCCCCAATAGTTATAGATTAAATCTCCAATAAGTTTAGGCTTGCGGTGAATAAAGCCTGCCTTTGCTCTCAGTCTTCTATCCTTAAGAAATTGAGGAGTGGAATTAAAAAAAAAAACGGCTGGCAAATGTCTTCCATAGTGACACTCTAGGAATTTCGCCATGTCTTTGTGGTCTTTACCACAGAGTTTATGGAAAATTCCTAGAGTGTTGGCCGGAAGTGATACCAGATCCTCCCCAAGCCACCTTTCTCAGGCAGCACCCTGGCATTATTTTATTTATTTTATTGAATTATTGGATTTTTATTCCACCCTCCCCAAGCGGCCTTAGGGCGGAGCACAACAAAACAAAGTTGGAGACTCGTTACAATAAAATTACACCACATTAAAATAATTAAAACAGTAACATTCAAGAGGTAGCAGCAATTACATAGAAAACCTGTTAGGGCCACGTACATGGAATCAATGGGTACTTCAGTAGATTGGAAACTAGAGCAGGGAGGTCAACTGAGAGGGACACCCGCCGCCTCATCTGAAGGACACCCTGGAATTTGCCGAGGCAGTATTGGCAGCCCTAGATAAGATTGACAGAGCAGAGGTTTCAGTCTGAAATAAATAAAAAGAGAATAAGCAGGATATAGGTTTCCTTAGTGGGTCATGATTTTATGTTATCAATGGCTTAGTCATTGTCTTCTCTGTCACATCAAACAGAGGTTGTCTTCATCCTCATTTCACCTCAGTTAAGGACAAATGTGCAGAAACTCTGTGACTTCCTCGTGTATGAGCCTGACTCCTCCCCCTCCCTTCCTGCACCAATGATCATGGCTGAGCACTAACTCCGGTTTCCTGTGGGATTGACCAATGTTCTCGCTCCAGTTAACCTGCATGCCTGCACTCATGTATTACAGGTAACCGGAGTTAGTATTTAACCCTGATTTGTGGCTCGGGAAGGGAATGAGAAGGAGCGAAGCAACGAGCCGTGTTTGGGGGTGTTTTTCTTTATCCGTAGTTAACTCGCAGCCTGATTGCCCAAGGGCAGTTTCACATGAAGACAGAGTGGTGTCGTGGCGTCTGAACTCGGAGGCTGCCCCCCCCCCCAATGGCAAGCTCTCCCTGTGTTCCCAGCAGTTCCACCATGAATTTGGCGGTGGGGGAGATGTTCTTTGGGACAGATTGCCATGACAGAGTGGCGGAGCAAGAAGTGGTCCCAATTACGATCGCAGGGAGAGGCCCTCCTGACCCTCCCACCAATCAAAGAAGCTTGTCTGGTGGGCACCCCAAGAGAGGGCCTTTGTGGCAGCCTCACAGTTATGGAACCACCTACCCAGGGAGGTACGCCTGGCCCCCTCATTGTTGATCTTTAGGAGACAGCGGAAGATAGTTTTATTTAAGAACATAAGGGAAGCCAATGTTGGATCAGGCCAAAGGCCCATCCAGTCCAACACTCTGTGTCACACAGTGGCCAAAAATATCAGGTGCCATCAGGAGGTCCAGCAGTGGGGCCAGGACACTAGAAGCCCTCCCACTGTTGACCCCCCCCCAAGCACCAAGAAGACAGAGCATCCCTTGCCCCAGACCCAGAGTTCCTATCTATACCTTGTGGCTAATAGCCACTGATGGACCTCTGCTCCATATGTTGATCCAATTCCCTCTTGAAGCTGTCCATGCTTGTAGCTGCCACCACCTCCTGTGGCAGAACACAAGCGTTTCGCATTTGTGCGCATGCGCAGTTCCGTGGATCAGCACTGCTTTCAGTTTTGTGTTTGTGCACATGTGCTTACGAAAAACATCCGGTTTGCGACGGGACGTGGACAGGCGCCGGATGCCATGGGATACTAGCGCTCCCATGATTAGACGCCCACCTGTGCCGCGCGTTTTCCGGATACTAGTGCACTTTCCTTGGTACTTTTTAAATCTTCATCTTTGGCAGGATGCCACGGGTTGGCCACGGGTGCGCTACGCTTCCCAGATGTTGCTGTGTGATCGCGCCCCGAAAATCCGCCCGACATTTGTGCCCTTCACGCAGCAAATTCTCCGTGTGACTGGGGCCTTAGTTTTTATTTGTTGACAGTCCTACTTGGAGTTTTTAAATTTTGACTTTTCATGGGTCTTCATTATTTATTTATTATTTGATTTATATCCTGCCCTTCCCACAATAAATACAACACTATCTTAAAACAGATGGGGGGAAATGATAAATAACAATATTAAAACAGTCCAGTAAAACCACAAAACCTTTAAATGTATTGTTGTTGTGTGGTTTTATATTGTTTTATCGTGCCTGTTTAAAATCGTTTTGTGTTGTAAGCTTTCTTGAGTTCCGCTAGGGAGGTAGGCGGCTAATAAATGTTTTAAATGATACTAATTAACAATAACGACGACAGCAACATGTGGGTTCTGTGCCAATGCCGGTTTCTGTGGATTGGGCCTAGCGGCCACTCTACAACATAAGTCGCATTATGCTGTGGCTTCAGTTGGCTGGGTGAGTTAAGGCTTGTCTGTCATCTCACTTTCTGTTCCATTGCTTCTGTGCTTACTATTCCTTCTGCTAGTGGCAGTGGTGGCAGTGGCGGTTGCCATTAGAATAATGTAAACTTCTTGGTTGGTTGTTTTTCTTTTTCTTTTAATGCTGGCTCTGATGCATGCCTCCTTACTCGCTGTGTTCTTGTTCTTAAGGACCACCCAGCCCAGGGGTAACAGGGGCTCCCGGGTTTCCTGGCGAGAGAGGAGAAAAGGGGGACCGGGGCTCCCCTGGACTGTCTCTGTTTGGATCGAAAGGAAGAGATGGATTCCAAGGCCCTCCTGGTCCACCAGGGCCTCCAGGCCCCCCTGGCATCATAGGCAAGTCAATCGGATACCCACAATGTGTCAATAATCCTGTTTGTACAGGGAGAGGTAAGATAAGAAGGTCGACATACTCCGCCGTGGAAGATTGCAGGGTGACCTTGTGCCAGTCACATGCTCTCGGCATAAACTACCTCACAGGATCGTTATGAGAATAAAATGGAGAAGGAGGGAATGTTATAAGCCACGTTGGGTCCTTCTGGGGAGCAAAGTGGGGTATGAATGAATTGCCAGTTCCCCCTTCCCTCCGCGGATCCTCGCTTTGCCCCCACCCCTTGCTGTTCCTGGGGGCGCCTTGACCCCTGAGGAGCT